ACACGAGTTTAAACTGTCTACCTGAAGAAAAAAAAATCAAGAACTCTTTGACACGAGTATAAACTGTCTACATGAAGAAAAAAAAATCAAGAACTCTTTGACACGAGTATAAACTGTCTACCTGGAAAAAAATAATAATAAATAAAAAAATAAAAAATCAAGAGCTTCTTGATACGAGTTTAAACTGTCTCCCAAAAAAAAAAAAAAATGACATTCCTTGACACGAGTTTAAACTATCTACCTGGAAACAAAAATCAAGAACTCTTTGATATGAGTATAAACGTTTTCGGGAAAACCTATGTCTCTATTGAACTACGTGATGACTTAATCCCTCTTTTGAGGATACGTAGGCAGTTTAGAATTTTATTCTAAATTCAGTACGACGCTAAAAAATAATAATAATACATAAAAATCCTCAGAATATGCAAAATGGCAAAGTGTGTTCGTCACGAGATATTAAAAGGGCTAGTCTCAATTTGTCAACTTCACTTGCTGTCAAGATATTATTATCACTCATCATGCAATATCAAAAATGCTCGTCGCATCCTGTCAACTTGGCACGCCACCGAATTGTATCTATAAAGAATTTTAGCCAATTACCAAATTGTAGCTGCAAGAAAGAAATTAGGTCCACCGTCAAAGTGTAGCTGCAGATAATAATTTTGGTTCGTCATTAGAATTGCAACTGCAAAGGAAAAAGATGTTTGGCTTTTCGTTGAACTATCATTCAAGAAAAAATTCTGCTAGCCGCCAAGGCATCGCTGAAGAATCTGGTTCATCGTTGAGGTGTGGCTGGAAGAAATAAATAAATTTGCCTTGCTGCCAAAACGTCACTGAAGAATCTAGTTTATCGTCGAGGTGTGGTTGGAAGAAATAAATAAATTCAACTTGCCACCAGAGTGTCGTTGCAGAATCTAGTTCATCGTCGAAGTGTGGCTGGAAGAAATAAATAAATTTAGTTTGCCGCTAAGGCATTGCTGAAGAATCTGGTTCGTCATTGAGGTGTCATTGAAGGAAAAAAAAAAAAAAAAAAAATCTACTTACCGCCGAAGTATTGCTGAAAAAGATCTTTCGTTTTCTGTTGAGGTGTCGTTGAAAAAATTCTGCTCACTGCCAAGGTATTGCTGAAAGAGAAATTTGGCTTTCTATTGAGGTGTCATTGAATAAAAAAACTTCTGCTCACCGCCAAGGCATTGCTGAAAGAGAAATTTGGCTTTCCATTGAGGTGTCATTGAATAAAAAAATTTCTGTTCGCATCCGAAACATTGCTGAAAGAGAAATTTAGCTTTTCGTTGAAATATTGCATCAAGAAAAAAATTATGCTCACCGTCAAGATATTACTAAAGTAAAAACAAATCACCAATGGGAGGCATGGGCATACAATCTTCGATTGTGAACTCCTCACACAGTCCGTAACAAATTCTGGATTGTCAAGGTATTGTTGAAAGAAAAAATCAGAGAAGAAATAAATGGTGCTTGAAAGTTCATGTATGTATTGATGAGATGTTTATTGTAGCAGGTCTTTCATGTAGATCAAATATGCATCAAAAGGAAAAAAACAAAGAATAATAAATTCTATCGTCAAATAGGTGCATGGAAACTTATACAACCGGGTCTCCTTGCACTAGTTCCTTCTTGTACTCGGATTAGGTGGCAGTACAAAAAAAAAAAAATGCACAAGTTACGAAAAAAATCCGAGCAAGCAAAGAAAAAAAAATCCAGCGTGGAAAAAAAAAATGAAAGAAAAAAAAAAAGAAAAAGAAAAAGAGAAAGACGTGAAAAAAAAAAAAAAAGAGAAACAAAGAAGCGTGAAAAAAAAAGAGTGAAAAAAAAAACGTGGAAAAAAAAAAAGAAGAAGAAAAAAAAAAAAAAGGAGAAAGAAGCATGAAAAAAGAAGGAGAGACAAAAAAAAAAAGGAAAGAAAAAAAAAGGAAGGAAAAAAAAAAAGAAATGGAAAGAAAAAAAAGGATGCGTGAAAAAAAAAATAAGAAGAGAAAAAAATAAGGAGACATACAGATTATTTGCTTGGGGCGAGCAAAGTTATTCAGAGGCTGCAATCTAACAAGTATTCTGAATTGATGTCTAGCCCTATAGCATGGATAGGTATATATAGGCAACAAAATACCTCCCATTTTTACCGCAATTTATATAATTCAGTTCAAATAGGAAAGTAAAATTCTAATCCAAAGTTGGATAGAAAAGGGAAAGAGGAAATCTTATAATCCAAAGTTGAATAGGAAAGTCTTTTACAGTACAAAGACCAAGTTGGATACTTCAAGTCCCACTTGAAAAATGATACAAATCCTGTCAAACATGTGACTCGAAGTGTGGGCAATTTGTAGACACTAAAATTTTATGGTCTTTTGTTTTGACAAATTGACCCATTAAATATGGGTCAATATTTAATTAAGTTATTTAATTAGCCTAAACTCGGTGCACTTAAATTATTTAATTAGCCCAGTTCAGATGGTTAAATAAAAAACCTAATAAAATATATGTTGAATAATTGTTTTTAAGGAAAATTATCATAATATACCTGGCCCGGCCCAATTATGATTTTATTCTTATCAGGAGATGACATGTGTCATCATCCTATGGATCCAAGAAGCCTATAAATAGAGGCCTAAAGGAAGAAGGAATTGACACAAATTCAGAGCCCAGAAATCCAGAGATTCAGAAATCTAGAAGGTCCAGAAATTGAGAGAATCAGAAATCCAGAGGGCAAAACTAAAGGCAAAGAATACCAAGCACATCCAAAATCGTGCTTTTCTTCACCAAATTCAACAAATCCTCTCTGAATACGAAGAACAACAAACACATCCAAAATCGTGCCGTTCTTCACTAAATTCAACAAATCCTCTCTGAAAACGAAAAACAACAAGCACATCAAATTGTGCCGTTCTTCACCAAATTTAACAAATCCTCTATGAAGATGAAGAACAACAAGCACATCAAATCGTGTCGTTTTTCATCCAAATTCTACGGTGATCAACAAAAAGCATATCAAATCGTGCCGTTCTTCATCCAAATTCCACGGTAATTCAAGATCAAGCTCGTGCAGCCCTTGGATCCAACCAACAAAGAAAAGGAGATCGAATCAGAAGACCTTATTCTTTGTAAAGAATATTACAGAGGATTGTACTCCAATTTTTTTATAAATTAATAAAAATCTATTTGCTCCTAATTTTATTTCTTATTTGCAAATTACAAAATTTGTGTGTACAGTCCTGTCACCAAGAACCTTATCCCTCAACTCTACCTTTAAACAACGACCTAATGGGTTTGTAATTCTTTGCCCTACCTTCTTAAACAGAAGATTAGCATGCACATCCAGGATCTGGATCCAGCAAGGAGAGACCAGAAACGGTGCCTCAAAACACAGCAATCTCTCATCCCACTCCTTAAACACCATCAAATGCCCATCAAAAAGTCATGAACAACCATTGAGGATACGCTGATGAATACTGTCCTCGGAAATAAGGAGTTGGAACAAGTTTCCTGTGACCTTGAACACTTGTAGGTGCTTTGCAGTAAGAACGATGTGGGTTTAGGAATTAAATTCTAAATAATTTAAAATTTAGTTTAAAAAAGTAATATAAAAATATTTAAAAATGTATATAAATAATAAATGATATATATATATATATATATATATAAATAAATAAATAAAAAATGAAACAAAAAGTAAAATATAATAAATTCAAACTAAATGAGTAAAATAATTACTAAATATTTTAGCCTAGAACGAAAATGATATATATAATATGATTCCAGAGTTAATCAAATTTTATTTAGCACAATATAGTTAATTGGATTATAAAGTTCCCTTGGTTGCAAAATAACAATAATAATAAAATAGAAAATAAAAAATGAAACTTTGGAGAGATATGGAGAGTTTATATATGATTGCTGATAAAAAAATGTGGAAAATTTTCCTTCAACCATATATTTCAATTTGCATAGATAGGTGATAGCTAGAGAGATAGGTACACCCAATTTGTTATGTTAGGAAAACTAAAAGGAATTCTAATGGAATGTGTATTTTAATTTGGATATAACTCTTTGGACACAGAAAAAATTATAAAAAATATACGTTAACGTACTTTTCAAAATAGTGAGGTAAAACAAAATTGTCTCCAACATCTTTTATGTGTTATTATATATATAAAATGTCTTTTTGTGTGAATATATATAACTGTCAACTATTAAGAAGATAGTTTATTGAGAGAAGAAAAAAACAAAAAAAATAAAAAAATACATATTTAATCGTCAACTAACTATTAAGTATTAATATATATATATATATATATATATATATATATATATATAAAGAGTTATGCTAGTTTACTGTTTAAAAAAAAAAAAAAAAGTTTCAAAGATACAACTTTTTGGAAATAAGAAAAGTTTATATATTAAAAATTATAACTTTTCAGAATAGTCATGTTAATAACTTTTTGGAAAAATAATTATTTTAAAATATATAAATTTTACGATATAAATTGAACACGAAAAATTAAATAAGCATGATTTTTAAAAATTAGGCATGTCCTTTCAGTGCCTCATTAACTTTTGTTTCTTTAACATTTGTGTCCTCTAATAAACGAAACAGTGCATATTTAGGAAGAAAATTTTAGATAATATAATTTATTAGTTTAAAAAGAGTGTTATTAACTCTCTCTTTTAATTGATGTAAAATGAAATAAAAAGGTATTAACTCTTTCTTTTAATTGATGTAAAATGAAATTAAAATATATATAAATAATAAAATAGAATCTTCTTTTATAAGGGATATGGATAGATATATATAGGGGAAAAAGAGACTTGTCACGCATTGTTTGAATTTAAAAAGTGTTATTATTAAAAAATAGACAAATTTGTACCTTCTACTTTACCTTAAACTTTAATAAAATTAGTCATAGTATCCATTAAATAAATTATTATTATTATTTTTTATGAAAAATTACTTATATTTCCAATTTTATATTGTTATTTTATTCCCCCATCAAAGGGCACATACAATCTTATATAAGTTTTGTTATCAAAAACAAGTTCGATTCTTTAAACGCTTCAGGAAAATTGGAGATCTACGGAGTCATCATCACCCTCTGTACTTGTTGATCATTCGATTCGTTGGGTGAAGATATTAGAGACAATGGAAGAACTGAAATCGACTATGGAGGACCACATGAATCAAATGGCAGATCTCGTTGAGAAATTCTCAGCAGAACTTCGCTCCGGACTGCGACCAGCTTACGACAACTTCATTGGTTTCTTCCACGCCATCGATTGGAAGGTACACCCTTTCTGTTTCTCTCTCTAGAAGTCCTCTCTCTCTCTCTAGAAACCCATTTTGATCAGGACATCTAAACATGTCGAAACAACAGCATATTCCATATACCCATCATGTTATATGCCAACCTTCTTGCTTCGTTGTGTCACTTTGATGTGTAAATTAGTGGAACCTGTAGTGTCTGAAACAATTATGGATTGTTCATTTTGAAATTTTTGTTTTTTGCTTTTATTCTGAATATTTTTCTATATTTCATTGTTTTCACTGATCTAACTTAAGCATGATGTGGTTTGGAATGTGGAAAAGTTGCTATATTGAATAGTTATATAATGTTTGATATATGAGTGTGCAGCCCGCTTCATTTTGTTCCAGTTCAGATTTTTGTAGGAGTACTTTCTCTCTAAATTAGGCTAAATATCTTGCTTTCTAGTCTAAGGTCAAATACAATATTGCTATGTTTGGGAGCATCGAATAGGCCGCTTGGATTTGGAATTGGGGAAATTTTAGTTCAATCTTTGTACTAAATTTTATCCAATTCCAAATCCAATGTGCTGATTCAGTGCTCCCAAACGCAACACATATAGGATTTCTTAAATGAGTTGTTGACGATGTCTTGTTTAGATTTAAATTTGGAATTAAGTCTAAGAAGCTCATTGGGGATTTAGAAGTTAAAAAAGATAAAAAGAAAGAATAAAAAGAAGAAGATCAAAAGATGCTTAAAATTAAAATGATTCCATTGAGCAACACATTAATTGGAATGAAAAATATTTTGACTGATAATTAAATAAATAAAAGAACTTTTATAGCTCTGATTTTTATAGAAATGCAGTTCAACGTGCTGTAGGTCTCCTTTACCAGATTTTTCACGTGACCTCTACACAGGGATGGACCCAGGATATTGAATGAGGGGGGTAAAAGTGAATTTTTTTTTTATTTTTTTGTATTTTTTTATTTTTAAATTTCAGGTGGGTCAATGGTAAAATTTCAAAGGTATATAACTGAAAATAAGAAAAATTACAACTACCTAATGCTTAAAAAAAATAAAAATTCAGGGGGGTCTTTAGGTCCGTCCGTGCCTCTACACATGAAATGGAAAAAAGATATCTCTGGTAAAATTATATGCAACAGTTATGTTTGCCTTTTACTTGTAGGCCTTGATTTCCTTTTGAAAGTTTTCATCTCTCTCTCTCTCTCTCGGCAGGAACCTTGGTTAATTTGCTTGATGCTGTCCCATGCTGCATTGCTGCTAATGACTCTCATTTCGAGGAGGAATATCAACTTTCAAATGTACTTGTTTCTTCTTGCATGTAAGTTCACCATTCCTTCCCAGTCAAATGCAACTTCTATTCATGGTAGGCTTGCTGCAGTGGTGCATGTTCATCTTGTGTGTGTATCTGTCATAAACGATGTGAATTTGCATCAGTCACAACTTTAATTCTTTCAAGGCCTGATATACCTACCAAAAGAAGAGGCTTGATGTATTGTCATCAGAGTCTTTTTCTTTTTGCATTCCTTTTTCTTTTTAATAAATGCATGGAACTTTTATTACTAATGTTTGGTGCCCAAAACAATTGCGGATATTAAATACAATGGCCAGTGCTGATAATAAAACACTGACTAAAGCAGAAAAAATATTCAATCTTTAGGAATCATCAAAATAAGTTCGACCCCCGAAAATTGAATGCAGAGGATATGCATCTTAGCAACATGATTTGAAATTTGTCCAGCAGTTTCCCTGTGTATTTTTTTCTTAAGGTAAGTTAAGTATGCGGCCATAATGGTTTCATTTTTACTTCTTTTTCTTGTGTTTCTTTCCTTTTCTAAATGATAATAATTAGATTAATAATAATTATAATAGTAATAATAATAATAACATCATTAAAAAAATCCCTTTTCGTCTGGTACCCTATTTGCTGAACTTTTCCTATGACGATTCGACTTTCCGCTGGTTTCCAGTTTCCTGCTGTCCCGGCTGTGCTCGTTTGCGCAGGTGTGAAGTCGTGAACCAACCCAACCACTCCTCATGTGGGTCACCTGAACCTAAACATTGAAGCTTCTTTCAATCCAGTCTCTATGGAGTGTGGTGGAGACTCGCGCAGACAGCTGACTCCTTTTCTTCATCATTATCCTGCCGCTCCTACCAACACTGGACCGTCGAAAGGATATTTCACAAACTTCTTCACAGTTAGATCAGTCCGCTTAGGCAGCATACTCTCATGAATATCGAATGGAAAAACACCGATGACTTTGACAAACATCCACGACTGTTACGATTGACGTAGAAGAGTTGATTGGAACTTATAGAATATTGACAATGTTGAGGAGATCATTTGTGGAGGTAGCTGGGTTTCCTGTTCTTGCACAGGGAGGAGAGGTGAAGGTGTTGTTGACCACCAGAAGTGGTGTGTTTTGAGGTAGTGACAGGGGCATATGGAAAAGATGAGAGATGCTGAGATCTTGCTTGGTGAGGCACTTTGACAGAGTAGTGGGAGGTTTATGGCAAATTGCAGAATGGGCAACTAAGACTTGGAGAGTAGGATGTGAAGTTAGAGTCTTGCCATCACCAAATTCCCTTCTATTGTTTGGAATTGGATAAACTAAGGAGGCCAAATTAGAAAAGAAAAAAGAAAAAGGTAACTCCACTTGTTCCTTCTTTTTATAAGTTGATTTTCCATTATAAACCCTTCTACTAACATAATGAAACATTCATTTTTTCTTCTCTCTCCACCTGTCTCAAATGCTTCAAGTTGCCTAAATCAGCCAAAGGTGGCACTCAGCCATCTACTGTATTGGCCCCGTGGCCGGTAGTGAGACTGACCGAACCCATGAATGATGTCTTTGTTGACAAACCCGATCATGTCATTCTGGGGCAAGAAATGGCATATATAAGGACAAGGACATCGGCGAGCATACTTTTCTGTTATTATTTAGAGGGAGCACCCTATTGCATTTCTCTTAATCCTCCCACTTTGGTATGAAAGCAGAAATGGTCTTTAGGGATAAATTACCCCTCCAATTCTCCATTTCTCTTCCTTTTCCCACCGCAAACCTAATAGAAACGAGATATAGTGTTCACCTGTCCTCCGTTTCCTTTATCTCCCACCAATTTCCCATTCTGAACAAGCTGTTTGTTTTCTTTTGACTTTATCAATAATTTTGCTTCTGTCAAAGGAGGACACCTGATGAGCAATGGATGCCTATTGTAAGCACACTTAATTACTCACTTCAAGGGTGTCTATGTATTTTGGGCGTCTAGCTATGCCTTCATTCACCTTGGGGAATACTCATTTAACCATTAAAGATAACAGTTTGTCTGCTTAAAGCATATGCTGAACAGTTTTAGAAAAGATCTAGCTTACACTCCTAGGAGTTGGTCTATAGATGTTTTATGTCTGCAGTGACTTTGATCAAGTTTTGGTTCTGGAAAATAGGCTACTTGATTGAACATGTGAACTCCAATTGCTACTACGACCATATATGTTTCCGAGTTTCCATCTTCAAGATTCATGATTGCTGCCTTAATAGTGCTGCTGTATAAGGGTATATATAAAATTTACAAAGAATTGGCCCAGGACTTCAAAGATGTACAGATTATTGACTTGGTAGATCACCAATGCGAAATATGAAAACCAGTGGAAGTAATAAACCTTGTAATCAGTCTAAACAAATTTTAAGTATGTTATTTGGTCATCATCAAATTTTATATAAAAAAAGGAGTACTACTTCACACCAGTTCAGAGATTCATTTATCATATCTATTCCTACCAGTTGTTTTCTTGGAGCTTGTATTTTTTACTTTTCTATTTACTGAAATATATTGATTTTAGGGATTTTCCATGCAATGAGTAGGGACTTAAAAGTGAATGAGCCAGCCAGAGATAAATACTGGAAAATCCAATTTCATTTGTAGTTCAGAAGCCGTCTCCTAGATCAGCTTGTGCTTGACAATAAAAATATGTGTGGAGTTCAATCTTGGCTCGTGATTTATCCAACTTTCAAGCTGAGATTGGCCATTCTGATTTTCTTGTACCTTCTTTGCCAAAAATTTATTGGTGGTTTTAGGGAACCTGAATTTTGGCCTTCTTGTTTGATCTTTATTGGTCACACACCATTTTGCAGATAAACAGTCTTTCAAAATTCTTATTAGAAAACTTGAGACTTGAAGGATTTTAATTCTCTTACCAGATGATTGTACAACTCAAAAGTGACTAAATAGAGTAACAGATCCAACATGAAACTCAGTTGTCCACATCCATTTGCATTAAGTCCATTCTACCTCTTTCTGTGATGTGGCTGATTCATTTGTTCTGAAGACCATCAATGTATTCCCAAGTATTTTAGAATTCCAAATCTGAGCATGGAAACTGTAGCTTATGAATCTGTTACATGGCAGCGTGGGAAAGCCATTGTGCACTATACCATTAAGTTCTTATGATAGGTGCCATTACTTTCAAACAAAGAAGGTGAACTGCATCCTATTCATTTGTTGTCATGGCTGGTTTCTAATTCTAATATAATCTTTAGGCATCATCAAAATTTCTGCATATGCCTTTACTGAAAATTGTAGCAATGAAAAATATCGACCCATCAACTCAGTTATTTCCTAGATGCTGTTGTCTCATCAACGTACATCACCTGTGTGAGCTGATGATTGAACTTATTTTGTGGTGTCTGGTGCGTGGGTGGAAACACAAGTGAAAAGGTGAAGCTTCTAAATTGCTGAACAGCTTTCTGAATAGCTTGCGTACATGTAACATTCGTGTTCTACTTTCTGTGCACAAGAACATACACACGTGAACATAACAAAACTCTATGTTCTGAAATACTGTGGGTCTTGTCTTAACTCTTAAACATTAATCTGCTGCAGTGGCTGGTGTATATCTTGCCGAGAGGTTTAATAAATTCTTGGCTGGTAACTGGAAAATTTTTGCCAGCCAGAATTATTTCGACCCACACGGACTCTTTCTCTCCGTCATCTGGTCTGGGCCTCTTCTTGTAATTGCAATCATCATCTTGGTCAGTATTCACAATCTCTTCACTTTTCTGTTAGCTTTTCTTTTTTTCGTGATTGGAGTAATATCCTTCTCTCCCCCTTGGTGATTCAAATCCCCTCCAGTCATCATACTTAAACACCTCATAGCCTCCGTACCTGAGCTAGCTGCTGCTTATTATATTTTGCAGGTGAATACCCTTTTTACTTTGTGCCAACTAATTGTTAGATGGAAAAAGGCTGAACTCAGACACCGTGCAAGACTTTCTCATAACAAAGAAGAGTGATATGATATACTCACTTTTGTTCTAGATATGCAAGGGATCTCTTATTGGCTTCATTTTGGATAAATTTTTTATGTAGCGTTCTGGAATTAGGTTAAAAAACGGTCACGTGCTTTATCTTTCCTGAGATCTTGTGACATGCTGGTGAACAGACGGGACCTTTCATTCAAACTTGTGCACCATTGCATACTGCACATTATACTTACTGGATTGGTTCACTTCCATTTGTGGGGACTATTCTTTGGCAGTGTATGCTCCTACTGTACCCAAACTAAAAATATAGCAAATCGTATTATTTTTTCTTTCGAAAACTGTGCATTCTGGCAGTTTAATTTGGGAGCATTTACGTTATTTTGGGTATTGATATGTGTAATGATTGTCACTCTTCTCTATCATTTAGCCATCTCTGTTTCTGCAGAGAGTATGAATGACTAATGTGGTTGGATGAGATTATATTCTTCTGTGCTAGAAGCACCAAGGTTCTTTCCTTCTTTTCTCTTCTAGCTTCAGGTTCTTAACATAGTAAATCATTGATATTGATTCTATAAAACTGGCTTTGATTTATAGCATTTGACAACAGCCAATGGTGCCATCCATTTTGCCCAGTTTACAGAGCGTACTGTTGGCATAGCACCGGACCCAAGAAATCCGGTTAACGGATTGCAACGGTTAGGAATTATTGCTCATATTTCTTTTAGAATTTGGTTTCTATTTTAGAGTTATTTTGTTGTGGTAATTTTTTTTGTAGAGAGAAGTGTTGGCTCCAAAAAATTGTACATTGTGCATCAAGAAATTGGGTTTGAGACTCTATAAATAGATGCTTAAGTTATTGCCCGAGTAGAGAGACATGTAGATAGCTATCCTTAAAAATTGAAATTAGTGTTTATTTATATCCATATTTGCTAAATATAAAAAATGTAGGAGTTGTGTTTGGGAGTGTATTTTTTATTTAAGATTCTTTTAGTTTCAAATCTAAGTGGCTGATTTAGTAGTAGTGTGTTTGTTTTTTTGGGCACCCTTACGGGGATGGTATGACTAAAGTCGATCCAACGAATTTGCATAGCATGAGAAATTAGTCTTATTTAAAAAATAAAGGAGAGATCAGTTGTTTGACCATGCAAATGTTTCACATTTTTCATAAAATTCTTACCTCCATTGACGAACACAATTAACTTTTGACTAAATGCTTTACTATGTCAACATCTCTACCAAATGTTCTTTATTATCACCAAGCATAGCTAAAAGTGAAAATTTCAAATTTGAAACAATTTTTATTCCCTAAGATTGATTATGAAAAGTTTGATGGAGTTACTATAATTTATCCTCAAATAAAAATAGATAAATTACACGGCCTTTCTTAAAATTTATTATAATTATAGAAATTTTTTTATAATTTGAAAAATTATTCGTACCTTTCTTGAAACTAAAACTAATCTACACAGACTACTCTTTCTAGTGACAACGTTAAAAGATTCTCATTTTTATTAGAGATTTAAGTGTTTTTTCAAATTATAAGAGTTTTATGTAATTATAAAAAATTATAAGGGACATCCGTGTAATTTACCTAATAAAAATCACAAGAATAGGGGAGGGAGAAACAGGAATACACTAAAACAAAGGGACAAGAATGCAAAACTCCGGCGAAGAATAAAAACACCAAATCAAACCCATCGCATTCACCGGCGAAGGTAGTTGTGACCTCCGCCCAGTTTCGATGCAGTCGAGAACACTCTCTCTTCATCATTCCTACCACCACCACCTCACCTTCTTCTTCCTCCTAAAACACACTCTCTCTCTCTCTCTCTCTATATATATATATATATATCTTTTCACGGTCACATTTTTTTCTATTTCTCTCTCAAGACCCACCAATGGCTCACCTTCTCAACACCGCTTTCATTCCCTCTTCTCCATCTCTTCGCCGCCAATGTACCCATTTCTCAGCTCCACTCCACACTTCGAGAAAGCCCATGATTGTATCGAAGATCAGAGAGATTTTCATGCCGGCGCTGAGCTCCACCATGACCGAGGGCAAGATTGTGTCGTGGGTCAAGTCTGAGGGTGACAAGCTCTCCAAAGGCGAGAGTGTAGTCGTCGTCGAGTCCGACAAGGCCGACATGGACGTCGAGACCTTCTATGACGGTTACTTGGCCGCCATCATGGTCGACGAAGGCGGTGTCGCCGCCGTCGGATCCGCGATCGCCCTTCTCGCCGAGAACGAGGAAGAAATAGACGAAGCTAGATCGAAGGCTAGTAATTCGTCTACTTCGTCTTCTCCATCTTCTTCGGCTGAAATTTCAGATTCGCCTCCGCCTCCTGCGACGGCTTCGCCCGAGAAGGTGGAGGTCGCGGCGGTGTCAATGCACCCAGCATCTGTGGGAGGGAAGAGGGTTGTGGCTTCACCGTATGCGAAGAAGCTAGCAAAGGACTTGAAGGTAGCTTTGAGTGGTATGGTGGGTAGTGGGCCAAATGGGAGGATTGTGGCCAAGGATGTGGAGGCCGCGGCCGCGGCCGCAAGCGGTGGTGGCGCTGTGTTGACGGAGGTGCCGAAACCGAGTGTGGGTGTGGCTCCGACTCCGGTAACGGGTAGTCCGGGGATTGAATTGGGTTCAGTTGTTCCATTTTCGACAATGCAAGGTGCTGTTAGTAGGAACATGGTTGAAAGTCTAGCTGTGCCTTCATTCAGAGTTGGGTACACAATTTCAACTGATGAACTTGATGCTTTATACAAGAAGGTAACTATTTGCTTACTCAATGATTAATAATGCTTTGTACATTTTGCTTGATATTGGTGAAAATTTGGATTTGGGTTTTAGACAATTAGTCATATTGGTTTGAAAATTGAGCAAATTTAGAAAATTCAGATTGAGAAAAGTCTTAAAACTCGGTGCAATTTGATAAAAGAAATATTAAAATGCATAAACAATGAAATTCATCATGATTAATAAACAGAGATGAAAAATAATAATAATAATAATTTGTTTAAATTTAACAGCAATTTTGTGAGGTCGGATAGAGTTCTGAGTTGTCGCAACATTGTGAATTTAAAACCATGTATTGCTTGATTTGGTTCTTTAGACAATTAGTTTATAGTTCAGTTAATGCACATTTGTTTTGCTGTTGATTGTGTTGCTTAATATTTTAGATAAAATCAAAGGGAGTGACTATGACAGCATTGCTTGCAAAGGCGACGGCACTTGCATTAGTTAAGAATCCTGTCGTCAATTCTAGTTGTAGAGATGGTAAGAGCTTTACGTATAACAGTAGTATCAACATTGCGGTTGCTGTAGCCATAGATGGTGGGTTGATTACGCCGGTGCTTCAGGATGCTGATAAGGTTTGTGTTAGTCTCACTTGGTCAATGCAATCTTATTGCCTTTGGGTTTTCCAGATTTGAATTGTTTCAACAAAAGGGGCCTTGTTGCAATCTTTGTTTTAGGCTGATATATATACATTGTCAAGAAAGTGGAAGGAGTTAGTTGATAAGGCCCGGGCCAAGCAGCTGCAACCTCATGAATATAATACAGGTATGCTTTTTCGGCTGTTCCTTTGGTAAGAATAGGCCTTTCTGTTTGCTCAATGATTAGTATACATATTATTTTTATCTAATTGTGTTTCTTTATCATAATCTGATTGATGCCATTTTATTTCTCTCCACTCGTAGTTGATCCTCATAAGTTTTTTCTTCTTAAATTTAAAACATCAATTTGTGGATTGGTAGCTAATGCTTAATGTCAAAATACACTGGAATTATGTTGAAAGAAATCATTGATTTCCTTACTTAGATATCATTAGTTACTATTAGTTTTCTTGAAAACATTGGAACCCTAAATTAGAATATGTAACTACATTCTAAAAAATGCATTGCACTCCTAAACTGAGTTGCTTTATCAGATAATATGTTTAAATTTTAGACACACTATATAGAGTTTTCTTAAGAATATCTTAGTACATGTTGACAACTTGAGCACTCAAAAAAAAAGAGAGAGAGAGAAAGAAGCTAACTTTTGAACATCTAAAGTATGTTATTTGTTAAGTGTATGTTTTGAACGTCAGAGATCTTTGTGGAAGAAATACATTGAGCTAAACTAGTTTAATTAAATTAAATAGCTAGATTATAAGTATTATTTGTTCTGTTTAAGAGTCCCGAGGTCAAAGTTCCTCCCTCTTAGGCATCAATGGTTACCCCTTCCTTCAGGATTTTCTCACAGAAACATCTGATGCCGTTTTTTTTTTTTTGGAAGTTAAAGCAAGCACACACACTCATTATACACAAGGCCCTAGTGGGACTTGAACCCTCAACCTCCCCATTTGGTGAAGAGAGGTTATACCATTGGGCTAGAAGCCCTTTGGTCTGATGCCTTGTTTCTTAGTGTCCTTTTCTTTATGTACGTGGTGCATATTATACATGCCTACACAGAAATCCTACTTCTTTTGTTTTTCTTGTTCTTTTTCTTTAAAAGAAAGTTCAATTTTGCATTACCAACAAGAATTAGGGAAAGAAGGGGATTATAATTTCTTGTGTATCGGCTTACAGTAATAAAAATAGACTACAAACCAAGAGTTCTAAAATTCTATTTTTGCACTTTTTGCGTTAGAATGTTAGAGAGGGATTGAGAGAGTAAAGGAAAGGCCAAGTGGAGGATTTGAACTTTCTATGGATTGAGAGAGAAACTTATAAACATTTTGTAAGACAAAAAAGTAAATCTAAAACTGAGAAAAGAAACAACTAAGAATCATTCAAACTTCAGGGTTTTTTTCTTAGTTTAATTTCTTTGAGAGGGGATATATTTACAATTTCAAAATAATATAGTTTCAAAGTTGAAATAAAAAAAAATGTTGAGTGGGGGCACATTTACAATTTCAAAATAAAATAGGTACAAGGTTGAAATAAAATAAATGTTGAGTGGTAGCAATTGCCCCCACTGGACCCTTACCAGCTCCGCCACTGGTCTCTCCTAGCCGTACTTTTTTATAATTTACCGTGTTCGTATTGTGTCATGTCGTATCCATGTCCCGTGTTTGTATCCCCATGCTTCCGATGTTAGTATGCACTATGCAATGGATGGGATATAATGATGCTATCCCATAGACATTCTTTACCAGCTAGCCTGTTGTTATGTTGATTACATCCCCTGCTTAATTTTACAATAACCTTGTTAGAGATGTGCTTATTATGGCTTTTTACTGGTATTGCAGGTACTTTAACTCTCTCTAATCTTGGAATGTTTGGAGTGGATTGCTTTGATGCCATATTGCCACCAGGAACTGTAAGTGTCAATACTTAATTTGAATGTCGTTGTCTCTGTTAGATTACTTGCCAGAAGTATGCATGAATTAATTGGGACTGCATTGTATATGAGTGGACACAATACATGAAACTAATCCATTGCAATCATTCTTTTGCAGGGTGCAATCATGGCTGTTGGAGCTTCCCAGCCTACAGTTGTTGCTTCGAAGGATGGTCGGATTGGCTTGAAAAGCCAGATGCAGGTACTTTTTCATTTACAAAACTTTGACAAGAATTAATTATTTAACAAATTCTTACCCAGGGAAATGTAATGTCTACAGGTAAATGTTACCGCTGATCATCGTGTCATATATGGTGCCGATCTGGCTTCATTCTTGCAAACCCTAGCTAAGATCATCGAGGACCCTAAAGATCTTACTCTCTAGATGCTTCCTATCGTCTGGGATGACGTTCTCGTAGCAAGTTCCAGTGGCTCTAATCTTGCATCTTTATGGAGTAGGTTTATAGAGAAATTCGGGAGCCAATCACTACCTGCTCAATCATATTTCTGTGAAGATCAGCTGGATCGGAACTTTGAGAGGAAATTCTATTTGCAATTTATCCTTGGTCTCTTGTGAGTTACAAATTTTCAAGATGTTGTCTTATCAATGAAATGTTTTTGTTCATTAGTTTGCTGAGGGTCTGATTGAGATCTTGGAGAATTTAAGAACAAAGTTATATGAGTTGAATATACATGCAATGACAAACTACTGTTTGAGAGAGGTTGCTTTTTTGCTGGACAGCACTGGTCTTGCAACTGGTTCTTGCTTAAATCAAGATCAGGTCACTGCAATTTGAGAGTTTATTACAACTAGAGAAATATATGATTTCTGTTATAAATTGGCCCCTTTAAGATCTAAAACTGACTATTACTTTTTGGTATTCTTTATAAAATCAATTTCCATTTCCTCCAATAACACTCCATGTGCATTAACATACACATACTGTTATGAGAACCATTACTGTATTCAAACCCACTGTCAAAGGGCCTGTTTGGCATTGTTTTTGTTTTGTGTTTTATGTTGCGGGCGGTGTACTGTAGCGAAGCAAAACACCGAGTAAGTTTTGTTACAATTTGAATAGTACTGCGTTTGTTGCCGAAAAGAAGCAAAACCGAGTAACTCTTTTTACGATTTGAATGGTACTGCGTTTGTTGCCGAGTAGAGGCCCAAAATTAGAAACACCAAATTCGTGTTTCCTAACGTTTTCACACTATAACAAAAACACCTTTTATAGCTAGTTATATTGATTCTCAATCTTGCGCCCCTTTTTACCAAACATGTTTACTGAAACATTTCTATTTCGGACAAAAACAAAAACGCAAAACGAAAACAGTTGCCAAACAACCCTAAATTCCCCAACTAGGTTTCCTCTATGACTAGAGATGGAGTATTGATTAACATAGTTGATTTTTATATTCAATCAGTGTAAGAAGTAACCTCCATGGATCCTGAGCATGTTGCTAGCAATAAGCTATATGTTTTCTCTATAATGTATAAAATGATCAGCTTGAATGAGAGCATCTTATAAGAAAATTTTCCTTCAAACAGGAGATTAACTTCTGATCTCCCTCATGCAGATGGTAAAAGGATAAAAATGCAAGTAAATAAAAATGATCAAGCACAATACCATTTAGTACAACAATTCCAAAAGTTATCCATGTATTATATATACATGGAAAGAGAATAACTTCAATCTATTACATTCAAGAGGAATTCTATAATCTAACAGCTCCTCCACATCTTGTATGGGAAAGGTGTTCTCTATATAACAAACTTCACAATAACAATTGATCATCTCTGCTACTGGGTTGATCCTTACACAGAGCTAGGTTTATCTCGCGTTTAGGATCATACGTAGCACGCTCTTCATCTTTGGCCTTGATTCCGGTGAGACACTAACACAAGCCAAAGCAATCTTCAGTACTGCTAGCATCTGGCTCCTAATGGTGATCGATGTTCTGCTCACGCTAAAATCAAGGATGTGATCCCACTTACCCTGCTGAGCTGAGTTTTTCAATACCCACTTGGCTAACTCAGTCCCTTCACTGACTGCTGGCTTTCCCGTCACCAATTCCAGCAGAATGACCCCGAAGCTATAGACATTCCCGGCCATTGTTACCCTCATTGTGTAAGCATACTCTGAAAGCCGAAAATCAGAAAACCTCATAAGGTATACTAAAACAGCAAAACTTTAGTACTATGCTGGTTTCACCCTGGGGGAGATGGTACAAACTCAAGAACAAAATGAAACTAATGCATGCTAGGAAAAGAAACATATGCTATAATGTTAGAATCACTGAACAAATTATCATTTAATCACAGTATTCGAGTTACTAGACAAAAATTCAAGAATTATTGAATCATCTGAAACAATTATGTCCATCTAAGACCTTGCATACTCTGAAAGCCGAAAATCAGAAAACCTCATAAGGTATACTAGAACAACAAAACCTTAGTACTATGCTGGTTTCACCCTTGGGGAGATGGTACAAACTCGAGAACAAATTGAAACTAATGCATTATGCATGCTAGGAAAAGAAACATATGCTATAATGTTAGAATCACTCAACAAATTATCATTTAATCACAGTATTCGAGTTACTAGACAAAAATTCAAGAATTATTGAATCATCTGAAACAATTATGTCCATCTAAGACCTTGCTATAAATCAGAATATGGGATATTGTATTCAATTATCTAAAGGTTAATGAGTGTATTACCTGGAGGAATATAACCAACAGAACCAGCAACTGTAGAAAGGCTGCCTGTGCTCTTAGAAGGATCAATCACCTTACAAAGCTCAATGTCTCCGACCTGAGGCTCCTTTGGGGACTTCAGCATAACACTTTTGCTCGAAAAGTCAAGGAGGAGAATCGGACCAGAACTACATCCGTGGAGAAATGCTAAACCCTGAGCCACTCCAATTGCTATACTGTAACGGCTTGCCCAATCCAAAGTGTTTCCCAAGCTACCACGCAGAACATCGAAAAGGGTACCCTTTTCTGCGAATTCATAGAAGAGATAAGCACTCTCACTGGTCAAGACATATGCCAGAGGAGTCATGACATTTGAATTGTTCAACTTCCCCAAAATCCGTAGCTCTTCTCCAAATTTATCATGGCTACCCAACTGGAATATCTTGTCACTCCAATTAATCTTCTTGACAAAATAGCTTATACCAGAAGGCATGATGGCTTTGTAGTAGGTCGAGAACCTAGTCTTCAAAAAGATGTTTGAGGGGTCAGCTACTGCTTCCATGGCTTTGGTGAAGTCGATATTCGACCTGTGAATGCCATTTAAAGTTAACAGGTTGCCCTCAATAACCTGGGGTTGAGCAAGGCCTTCTTCTGGTTCTAATTGCTCATCATTAATCCTGTAAAATCGTTTGGAGATCGATAGAGCAATAAGAGCAACTACCCCAACAGCGAGGACACCAGCTGCAACTGCAACAACCACCGCCACAGAAACTGTTTTCTTCTTCTTTGGTGATTGTGGAGGAGACTGCGGTGCAGCTGCTGGTGCGTATATCAGACCCTTATTCCCAGTTGCAACAAGCACAACATATGATTTGAACTGTGGTACAACTCCAGACAGTTGATTGTTTGACAGTAAAACCTGCGTTAAGCCTGCCATTCCGGTCAGAAAGTCTGGAATCTCTCCAGAGAAGCTGTTGTTGGAGAGATCCAGAACTTCTAATCCAGTCAATTGAGAGAGAATGCGGGGGATAGGTCCTTCAAAGAGGTTGTTGCTGAGATTCAAAGCAATTTGCAAATTTGTTGGCAGTGATGTGATATTCCCACTTAATCTGTTCATCCCAAGTTGGAGTTCCAACAGAGAATTCAAGTTGCCAATTGAATTGGGTATTGGACCACTGAGATTGTTGCCTTGTAGATTCAAGTTGGAGAGACTATGCAAGTTTGAGATTGAAGGAGGTATCGAACCACTCAGTAAATTCCAGCTGATATTGAGTTTCAGCAATTTTTGTAACTGAGTAATTTGATATGGAATTTCACCATCCAACTTGTTGAATTGAAGCTTCATCTCCTGAAGATTGCTAAGATTACCCAACTGTACCGGCAACACACCGGTCAGGCTGTTATTAGCTAGATTCAACAGTGCCAACTTCTGGCACATACCCAACTGAGGAGGTATCAATCCACTCAAATTATTGTTATCCAGCTCCAAATACATCAACTGTTGGAGACTACCAAATGATGACGGTATTTCGCCATCAAAAGAATTGCTTCCCAATCTCAATCTCACCAAGTTTGGTGACATATTTTCAGGTATTGGACCGTCCAAAGAATTGTTGGACAGATCCAAAAACTGCAAATTTGAGTTCGACAGAAAGTCCGTCGGGAGCAACCCATGCAACTTATTGTAACTGAGGTCTAAATTAATGAGGTACATTGTAAGACCAAGTGGAAGTGTACCATTAAAATTATTCTGATTCGCTGCGAATCGGTACAGGGTTTTGATAGTTGAAAAGATTGGGGGGATTTCACCACTCAAAGAATTTGCAGATAGAATCAAAATCTTCAACTTGGTAAGGTTTCTAAATGAATCAGGAATTGACCCAGAAAGATTATTTGCACTCAGATCAACCAGACTCAAATTCCTATAACTTGATATTTCTATGGGGATATTACCAGAGAAATTATTCACAGAAAGCTGAAGCTCCTCCAAAACCATGGACTGTCCAAGCTTTACTGGAACAGAACCACTGAATTGGTTGTAGCTAAGGTTCAAACTTTTGAGACCAACCAATCCATCAAACTGTAAATCAATCTTTCCATTCAAAGAATTATGAGACAAGTCCAAGAATTCCAACACACCAAAACCTTGAAAAGTGGGCAAACGACCACTCAATTTGTTTCTACTAAAATTCAACACCATTAACCCACCAATCTGTCCACAACCTGTAATGAACCCATTTGGAATTTCATTCAAATGGTTGTTGGACAGATCAATAGACTGCAAGGTATCAATTTGGCAAAGAACAGGCCAAAAATCAGAGCCAGAAAGAGAAAAACCAGAGATAGAAAGTTGGGTGATGGAGGAGTTGTTGGGACCGCACGAAACCCCCTTCCACAAACATGGGTCTGAATTTGAATTGATTTTCCAGGGAAAATCAGGAGATGAGTTGTTTTTGAGAAGCTCAGAGAGTTTGAGCATGGTGTTTATCTGGGTTGGAGGCAATTGAGAGAACACCAATTGAACAATTGACAAGAACATGAGGAGAGAGTTAATGGGTACATACCTGATCATCTTAGCTTTCCCTCCAAAGTAATCTACAACTGCAATTTTTATTGTATAAAGTAGTATTATATATGTATCAGAAATAGATATATTCTATTTGTTTCAGGTGGGCAGACAAAAAGACAGAGGAACAGATTGAGGAGGAGAGGGAATAGAAGGGAGGAGGAGAGAGAAAGAGGGAGAGTTTTAGAGAGAGAGAGAGATTGGGGGGATTGCCAATGCCATGGGGAAGGCAGGAAATTTGTGGGAAAGATAAAAGAATGAAGGAAAATGGTTAGTGTCTGGCCTGTTGCTGGTGGCGTTGACTGGACTTATCACTGCCAAAGACTTGGACTAACAACAGTTTTGCATTCTTTGAAACGTTTAAAATTGGACTTTTGCTGACACAGTCATGGTCACTGTGGGCCCCTTCCTTTAAAGTATTTCCCAACTTCCCAAGTCTTTCCTTCCTGTGGGGACCTTCACATAAAGATGATGTGTGTATATTTAGGGTAAATTAAACTGAACTCTAGGTTTGAGTAAATTTTATAAAAATAGATCGTTTAAAATTTATTACAATGATGTTCCCTAAATTTGGATGTATGTGCTCATTAGCCCCCTTAACGTGATCTTTCCGTCAGAAACTTCTACTAAAATTTACAAACTGACAAAAATGACCTTCGTCAAACTCTCCTGCACCTTCATCTCCACCACTAGAACCTCCCTGCCAGCAAGGGCGGAGGTGTATGCTTTGGTGACTCAAGTCCTTCCCAAAATTTTTTTTATTTTTTTTTATTGGTAATTTTAGTTGAGTCCCCCCCCCCCCCAAAAAAATAAATATTACTAGTGATAATCCACCCAAAAACATATTAGCCCATCCCATTAACAATTTTTGGATCCTCCTTTGCTCGCCAGTGCCCGCCCCTCCACCCTCAAGTTCATGTGCAAGTGTAGTGGCAACATTCATCCTAGGCCGACAATCAACTCACATACAAACTGTTCTGGTTCTTTTTTTGAGTTGTTATAAGGTAATAAAATTGTAGCGTTTTCAACTTCCTTTGTTGGTAATATTTCAAATCGGATGACTTTTGGTTATGGTCTGCCCATTTATTCTTTTATAATTACTTATTACTGACATTGATTTGCTATTGTAGTATACAAAAATTTAAATTGGAATTTTTTTATTTCTCTTCATATGTTTTTGGGCAATCAAATAAATCATTGTGTGGTTTATAATGTTTATACGTATCTTGCAATATTTATTTTTTAAATTTATATTTTGCTTATTTTATGTGAAAAGATCTCTTAAATATAAGTGTGTTTTTGGAAGAAGATCGGGATGTTTAGGGAAGAAGATGTCAGTTTTAGAAGAAAGTAGCGATGGAATGGAGAAGAAAGGGAAGAGAATATAAATAGTGAGATATGATATTTACACAAATTAACGAGGGTAACATGGTATTGTAATTGAAACTTGATTTTTTATGAAAACATTATTAAACTATAAAAGTATATAAAAAACATTTCATAGTATTAGTTAACATTTGTGAGCATATTAACGGTTATAAGAGATATTATTGTAATAAATGTTAAATGTTACATTTATGTGAGATTTGTCCGAACTTTAGAGGAGATAGTTTACACATATATTTATATAAACATAATATATTATATATATATATATATAAATATAGATATATAGTAGGGTGACCGTGGAGTTCACTCTTGACTGAAAAAGGAGGTCAATCCGAAACGCGTGGAATTAAAATTAGTCGCAAAGAAGACCAAGACTATTAAGTCTAGAACTGCTTAATTATTGAAGGTAGTACCGGGAAAAAACCAATTTGCGGTTCAGGTTTCTGACTCCTAAAATGTAGAGAAACTTACTTGATTGACGGTAGAAAACTCAATTAAAAATATATATATATATACTAAATTAAATATATATATATATATATATATATATATATATAGAGAGAGAGAGAGAGAGAGAGAGAGAGAGAGAGAGAGCGAGCGTTTTAGTTTTTTATTTTCTCAGTACCATATTAGATGTTATTTTGGAAAGTATAAGTTTATAAGGGAATATGTAATTATTGTATTATATTTTTTAAAGTAAATTATCTTTTAAAATTTATTCAACAAAAAAAAAAAAAAAAATTATCTTTTAAAATTTGAATATGTATGTATGTGTGTGTGTATGTATGTGTGTGTGTATATATATATATATATATAAAATTTAAGTTTGAATTTTATTTCTAAAGCTTTGATATACTTCATACTCTCACGATTCCAATTTCGTTGCCTATTTTTTTTTTTTTTTAGTTGTCCCAAAATATTTGTTTATATTTTACATTTTTTTTTAATAAAATACCGTTGTATTTTTAATAATTTCAAACTTATTATATATATATATTTAAATTTAAAAGGTAACTTAGTAATTTTAAAATGGGACATTACAATAATTATAGGTCTTCTTAAAAAGTTCTACTCCTCCAAAGAGACATATAAATATAGAGTAATGACTTGCACCGATTTGTTGTAGTAAATTATCTAACGGAATTTTTCTGACCACTTCTTTATTTATCTCATTTGTTGTAGTGAATTGTCAGACTTATTTATTTTAATTAGTCCATTTATGCATAAATAAAGAAGTGAGCCCCTTCACTTGTATATATTATGTATAAATAATTAATCAAAGTAATTCACTGTAACAAATTGGTGCAAGTATCATTACTCTTAAATATAATACGAGACAAATGAAGTAAGTGTTTTTGGAGTAGTGAATCAAGCACAAGAGTGGCCAGATACATTTTGATGTATAAGGGAAATTTTTAAATTAAACTTTTTATATATAACCAATGGCATGTAATCCAATAGTATAACATTTTCTTCATCAAAGAGGGAAAAGGGTTCAAACCCGTGTGTGGACAAAAAACATAAGTGAATGCCTTTGTTGTGAATGAAAAAATAAAGAAAGGCTTTATATATAATATATTAATACGTTGATATGAAAGAGAATTCAAACATAATATATTTTTTTTGGTTTAAATGAATTCGAACATAAATACTAATACATAAAATATATATATATATATATATATATATATATAAAGAGACCGCTTTTATTGTACCTCCCCCCTCTAAGGTGGTTTTTATTTATAAAGTCATGTGAGATTGTGCATAACTTATATGTATAAATATTTTTGAGAAGTTGAAAGAGAAAATCAAGAATAAGATGTAATTAGTATTGATAGATTTTGTCTCAGGTGTTTCTTGGCTGGTGGAGCAATTTTGATATCATTAGTTTCCAATTTAATAAAATCTGATATTATAATTATATAAAACTATATGATAATTCATACCATATCGTTATTTTTTTTTAATTTTTTTTTTTATCTTAATAAAAAATACACTTAAATAATTACACTCATACACTCACCCTTTTTCTCTTCCTCTTTTATGCTTTTCTGCTCTTTTCTCCGTGACCAAGCCAACACTCCCCTCCCCTTCAAACTTCACGAGTCGAATAGTATTTTTGTTGGGGGGCAGAAAAAGAAGATAAGATTTTATTTATAAAAAAAAAAAAAGAAAAGGAAAAAAACAAGAAAGAAAGAAAGATAAACAAGATTGGGTTTAAATTAATTAGATCAGTTGGACTTGGGGGTTGTTTCAACCATAAATTTTAATCATATGAACAAAGTATATGGACATAAATGTAAAATAGCCAAAGTTTAATTGGGCCTTGTAGCTCAATAGTATCTCTTTTACCTCTCAAAGTAGATAGGAAGGGTTCCAAATCTCCAAATGAACAAAGTGATTGTGTGAGTAGTGTGTGCGAGTTTCTTGCCAATGGCAAAAAAAATAATAAAAAAATCTCTATTTATTTTTTCACTGTTTTCATCATGATACAACTCTTTTAATGTGACTTTAAAAAATAAATCATTATACGGAGTAAATAAGACAATGTCAGTGTACATTAAGCTTTTTAATAATTTCATTTTAATAAAATAAAAGAACTTTTATCAATGGGCCAGTGGTCTAGCGGTATCAGCCTCTTATCTCCCAAAGAAAGGTCAGGGTTCAAATCTTAGTAGAAATATATGTGTGTGAGTACCAACTAAGAAAAAAAAAAATAATTAAAGAACTTTTTGGTAATTTTATTTTAATAAAATAAAAGAGTCACCTACAAAATCCTTCAAATTGTATTTAATTAAACTTAAGTATTATAGACATTCCCTCATTTCCATCCTGAAGCATTTTTTATTTCCCATTTATCGAAAAATCCCATTCATTATTGGCTCATTCTTCATCGAATCATATAGATGATCTAGTAATGACGAAATTTCTATTCTGTTTACTGAATCACATAAAATTTTATCCAACCCCATATATTTAATGGAATGTATGAAATACGTATGAACGAAGGAATAAAGAGAATTTTCCAAAGTATAATAATGGAGCACCAATATCAGTTTCCTTAAAAAAATGAGTCATGATATCGATTGGATGTATATGGTCTCACCATCGATGTCACAACGTAGAATCTATGTATTACAATGAGAGATTTGTCCCACATTGAATCCAAATGGAAGAGTGATTGGATAGAAATGGGTAGTATGCAATACTACTTAATAACTTAAATTTTTGGGTAAATGAACAAGTGTACACCCGTTATAGTTAGTATCAGAGTTAGATCCAGTCCTTGATCTGGTATCACGCCAAACGTTTGACCCGAAAGACGTCCGAGTGAGCCACTCGAGTAAACATGGTGGCCCAACCGGAACTAGGGCATTATAAATTCGAGTGGAGGAGAATGTTATAAGGAGAGATTTGTTCGACATCAAATTCGGATGGAAGAATGAGAGAGTATAAACGGGTGGGTATCAAAACAACCGAATTTGCATGGAACTCTTAAATAATTTTCTTTAAAAGATTTATTATGTAGCTATTGCATAACTTATTAATTATTAATCAAACCATATTTAATTTAGGTTTGAAATTTCTTCCCAGTGTGAAATCAAGGTATAGAAAGAATCGTGCTCTGGATCTACTTTTCATAGAAATTGAATCCAAAAAGAATTGGACTCAAAGTTTGGATGATGACTAAAAATCTTAGATGGGATTCACATTTTCTCATTGGATTGAAATTTTTTTCCAACCCACGTCGGATAGAAGTTATTGGTGGTGAAATGAGACTTCGGAAAATTGGGGTCAAATTTCCACTTTTTTTAGCATAAAGTTTCGAATTTAGAGTATGTAAATGCATTCTCATTTGGTGACCTTAGATGGAGTGTTGGACTTGAAAT